TTTTCCTAATTACCAAGATTCACATTCATCATAAGTCCTTTAGTCAAATAATTCCAAAATCCCAACTGTTTGGAATTTGGTGACAAGGAATTGTTTTAAAATAAATAATATCATTTTTGTAAACTAAAATTGAACGATTATCAAAACCGAAATCATATCTATATTTTTATAACGAATAAAATGAAATATTTTTTGTGCCATTTCAGGTGAGTAGTAACAATATGAAAAAACCATAGATAAACAATTAAGGACCTTAACTTTAAAATTCTCAATCATATTGACATGAGCTATTTGCTTGTTGCCCATGATTAGGTCCATTTCCTTGCATCTCAACATTTACTCCCCTTTAGACATTCACATTAGTACAAATATTAATGCCATATCTTGTGTCCAATAACATGAATTAGCAGTAAAATCATTATAGAGTTTAATCACAAATATACCTGAGTTGGCAAGCCCTTTTGCTTAAACTTCTTTAGTTCCGCTAAGTATTTCGGAAAGCTATGCCTCATGTATCTTTTTCTCTATAGTGGAAACAAACAACTTCTTGAGAGTTCTTTGATGGATATATCTCATGTTAGTCCTTACATTTCTTGAACTTAGGGTCGGAGTTGGTTGGAGCAACTTTGCCCTTCTATTTTCTCATACAATGGTTCGACCTCTTTCTTTTAACACCTCCTTCCTTTATTGCCAACATGAGAGTAGTTATGTTGAAGTTCATTTATTTGACTAGGTTGGAATCAGTGGTCTTAAGTATGTCATGCAAATCTATAATAGACCTTTCAAGAATATTCATGTTAAAGTTCACAATAAACCGATTGTATGAACCAGTTAGCAAGTTGAGGATTATATTTGTATCCTAGAGAACTCTTGCATAATTTAAAACCCTAGACGCTCTAACTAGTCAATGTATGGACATGAATACTGACACCCAACCTTCTTGCAATCTACTACCCATGAGAGCTTTTACCGTTTCAAATTGATCTTTTCGATCCTTTTCTTTTAACATCTCCTTGATTTGTGCACTCATGCAAAATGTCATTCTCAAAGTACTTTTAAAACTCTAGAACCATCGTCGCTAACATGATGCATGCCACCTTAGTTGACTCGTGAATACACTTATCATAGTCGTTCCTTTCATCTCTAGATATAATGTTTGTAGGAGGCTCAGTGAAAGCTTCCTCAATGGCTTGAGTTTTCTTTTCGTACTTGTATACGAGTTCCAAGTTTCGATGTCAATCAAGGTAATTTAAGCGATTAAATTTATCCTTGAGGATACTTAGTAGTGAAAATTTTGAAGATGAATAGTCTGTGTTTGAATTTATCTATAAAACGTGAATTTAATTATTGATTTTATAATTTATCCTTTATAAAATTAATTACTCAAAAAGTTATTTTATCAAATGCTAACATATTTCACTTCTAGTCGCAAAGAGGTTTAATGTAATCATAAAAAAAGCTATTTAAATAACCACCCATTTTACTAAATTCAATATTTATGGAACTATTGTGTTTGGTTTCCTGGATGATTTTGGAAGGAATGGAATCAAACAAAGGAATTGGAATCTACAAAAATTAGAATATGAAGGAATTGTAATATGTTATGTGTTTGGTAGACATGGAATGGAATCATTTTTGTTTATTTTGTAGATTTATCCAAGGAGTTGGAAAGTAAATTGTGTAATATGACAAAAATATACTTTTATATTCATTTAATAAACTCTTACATACTTAAATTTATATTGGCTTGTTCGCATTGGCGTAGGCGAGTTCCAATGGGTGTGGGGTGTGGGTGTGAGTGTATGTGCGAGGTGGGCGTTAGTGTTAGTATTAGTGTTGGCGTGGGATTATTGGTGTTGGCGTGGATAAGAGTAGGATGAGTATGGTGGGGTAGGATAGGGTAGTCGTGGGTGGGGTGGGGAGGGGGGTTGACATATATAAGGTGTTGAGGTGAGATGTGGTGAGTGTGGGGTGGGCGTGCACATCTGGGTATATGGGTGGGGGTAGGTGGGTATGTGAGTATGTATATGGCTTTAGGGGTAGGGTGAGGTGGGCATCGAAACTAATGAGGGATTATTGGCATTGGCTCAAACATGTACATATACATGTACTTATGGGTCTGGGTGTGGGTATGGGATTTAGTGTGAGTTTGAGGTATGTGTAGGGTTGGGCTTATGTGTATTGGTGTAGGGGTGGATATGTGTGACATCCCCAAATTCACGGTTATTTTAAAAAGTTGATTTATGCTTATTTGAAAATCAGAGCATTCGTTTTAAAGAATAATATTGTGGAATTTGTTCCCAAAAAACATGATAAATATATTATCCAAGCATTTCCGAAGAAATGTATTTTTTTTGCTTATATTAAAACTTTGCGATGTCATCGTCTCTACAGAAACATAAGCATAAACAGATCTTACATTCATTTACACTAGTGATTTAGATCTCCTTTAATCTCTCAGTGTAATGTAGCTTTGTATCGACACCTGTGATATAACTAAACCGAGTGGGTCAGGTTGGGAAACCTGGTGAGTACATTGGGTTTTCAACCCACAATAATATAGTTAATTTGTTTCTTCACATAATTCATGTCAAACAATTAACCCGATTACCTATCCCCATTTTCTTCATTTAATCTTCCCTAAAGATTTATCCTAAGGGTCATCTCATCTCCTACATCGTATTTACCTCTCATCTCCTTACATCGCATTTTCTTATATATTTGTTCCTAAGGACTTATCCTAAGGATCATCGCCTACATCGCATAGACAGTACTGATTCGGGGGTTACTTCCTCAATACGTGTCTAGTAAGGGTTAGAGTATCATCGCATGAATACGTAGTTATAACATCGCCTGAACTCGTAATTCATAGTAAGGGTTAGAGTATCATCGCATAAATACGTAGTTACAACATCGCCTGAAATCGTAATTCATCACCTACAGGTTATGAACCTGCTGGTGTTTCCACATGACTGTCTAAAATAGTCTGTGGTCGCCATATATACTCTGGTAGATGACTACATCGCCACATCGTCGGTCAAGGTTATGGTATCTCCTCTCATCTCACATCACCTATTTATCATCACCTATCTATCATCACCTATCTCTCATCACCCGTCGCTACCCAATATATATTTACAAGTATAAAAATACGTATACAGTTTAAATCACGTAAACATGTATAAATCGTTCATCTACATAGATATTAGGAACACAGATAATATGCACACATAGCACGTACTTTATATTAAATAGTTCATATCTATGTGTAAGATGAAAATAACTATGCACTCACTTGTTAAAGTGATGATTCCAAACTCGGGCAGCGCTTCGCTTCTAACAATTTATTTTCCTTCGACGAAACCTAGTATCATTACCGCTAGATTTTTGTCTAATATTTACAGCGACTATTTATGAGCAACATTGTTTTATAAGTGTTAAACAATACTTTTCAACCACTATGTACAAAAAAGGGCCAAACATGAAACATCGGAGGGCAGGACCATTTTGGCATTATAGCACTTCTGAAATCCAACAACCCACTGCGGCCCTTCAAACCAGATTTCCCGTACCACGAGTAGTTAAAAGATATTATAATAACACTTTATAATTTATAATACTGAGAACATATATTGTTTATAGGTTCATAATAACGACTTATGACTATAAATATAAGTTGCACTGAAAACAAAATAGTGTAGCTTAACTTACCGGGTTTTTAACGAAAATCGGGAAATTACGCAGACAGAACTCCGACTCTAAAAATTTCTTTCGTCGGCTTTTTGACGACTCGGAGTTTCTATATCGCACCCTAAAACTAGGAGAAATTGAACAAGAAAGAAAGAAGGATTCTAGAGAGAGTTTAGAGGAATGGTGTAAGAAAATATGAAGAATTCATCTTTTATTTATAGAGGTTTGATCATAGAGTAAGCCCTAAGTTTCATTTGTATCTTTCGCGTACGAGCTGATGATAATACATTTAGACTTGATGAATCATATTTAAAGGAGTTAGTAAACAATTTTTAAATATATATTAAAAATAAGAAATGAAATCTGAAATTTTTATCTTAAGCTAAAGAACTAATGACCAATTTTTTCAGAAAGCAAAATTTAATGGAATCTAAAAAATTTCAATGCCTTTAATTTTATCAAGCAGACGTAATTTTTAGTGGAATTTACATTCCATACTTTTCAAATTTATTATAAATCCACGAACGAAACAAGAAAGCCGGTTTTGGAAATTGAATTTAGCCTGTTCTATTGGTACACTAGTAGATCTTACCGGCGGGCGGGTATGGTCACCAGCCAATACAATTAATTGGATGAAACTCTAAAGCAACATGTTTAGTTATATGTAATTATCTTTTGTTTTAATTTGGACATCTTCAACAACATTCAAGTTTCTTATCCACCTGAGTTTGTCCTTTAATAGGACCAGTCAAATTCCTATATCATATACTTAAGTAAAATTTATAAATTCCATATTTCCTTTAATCAAATTTTATATAGGGATGTATTACGTATGCTAAAGAAAGATGCTTACATTTATACCTACACCACCCAATTATAGAAATAAAATTTGGAGTACAGCTTTGCATTCATCGCTTACAAGTTGATGTAATATGCTTCACACCAAACAAGAGAATGGACAGTCATTGATTTAGACCAAAAATACGTTTAAATCACCAACAGACTCCATTTAATCTTTCATTTTTTGCTTCTTCTTCTCCATATTACTCGTCAAATCTCCATGAATTGTTTTAAAAGCAATTAAACTAGCTTCCAATCCACGTTTCATTTACTTATCCCTTGAGTTTCTCTTCAGTTATGGCCAGCTAAACTCTCAATAACTCACACTAGAAACCCACATATATATACACACTCCACCATGCCTTCCATGGTGTCACCACATTTCGTCTCAAAGACTCACCCAAAAGGGACATAAAATGAGCCACAAGAAAACCAATTTAGTGATTCATATACCCTTTTCATGGGAGAAGATGCCTGGGGTGCCAAAGTCTATGGCCTCACCTAGGTGCGCTTTGATTACTGGGCTAAGTCGCAACAACATTGAGGTGCAGAGGAAAAAGACTCTTCCGTTGCCACCAGGGTCTTTCCGGGAGCCACTTAGAAGTGAATCGAAAAGGATGTATTCATCAGAGGAGGACCCTTTCATTGCTGCTATAATTAAGTGTACTAAAGATTGTGATGATTATAAGGGTCAGGATGACATTAAGAAGAGGTTTGGGAGTAGGGTTTGGACGAGCAAATCTTTCTTGTCGTCATGCAAACATTCTTTTGATGTGGAAGAGGGTCATTTGTCGACGAGGCCATCAAGCTTTGTAGTTCGTGGTTTGTATCATATGCAGCAGCGACGTCGGAGGAATTAATGAGTCTTATATAATATCATGCATGCATATGAATGCCAATCTTTTCGTTTTATTTGCTTCAGATTGGATTAGGGTTTTCATGTTTACTAAATAATGTTGTTTCTTGCCGATTCTTTATGTGCAGTCTGTAATGTGAAGAAATGTACGCATGTATTTTTTCAGAGTCCGGTCGGTTCTTGAGCTGTCTTTCATGCTGATCTTTTCATTTAATCACTGTCAATACGTACGCTTTGTTTATTCATGAACCTTGATGATGAAAAGGTTGATATTACAATGGATGTTAGGTAAGCTATCAACAAGAACTGGCCTCAACTATAATTTGTCTCTTGTGAATCCGTCCATTGATTTGTCAAAAATCCATCGTATTATTTTTTATTAATTTGTACTTTTATGTGTATTATGAATTGGTACTCAGTTATCCTTTCACAAAATGATGAATTTATTGTGTACTATAGAACAAAATGTGTATATGATTTAAAATGTATGTTAGCCAAAGTTGTAAAATAAAAAAGGGTAAAAAAAAAAAATAGTGACAAACTGATTGATTATTATGTTGCAAGGAATGAGCATAACATATAGTCACCAAAACTAAGAGATAAAGAGTTTCAAGGATGCAGAAGGTTGTCGGACAATAATTCTATCAGGTATTTAGGGCCCTGCATGTTCTATCTGAATTCAGTGAGGACGTTTTCGTTGATGACTTTTTGATAAATGCTTAAACAATATGAAATAACTGCTTTTGCAAGCTGTCAAGATGGAATATGGATTTCGGACTAGAATATGGCATACATAGCCGATAGGATGGGCATTTTCACAACATACCAAGGTTGATTCAATCGTTGTCAAGATTGAGGGGACCAATTTTCATATCAGATGAATCGAGCCTGTCTTTAGAGGCGAATCCCGCTGAGTCCAATACTCGATGGTAATAATCTTCATACAAATAATGTCTTCATGGATCGACCTCCAACCTTAATTCATAATCATATTAATTGTTCAGATGTTTATCTCGATTTTAGAGGTAAGAGAAAACTCAAAATGGTGAGTTTAATCAATTTACAATTTTCTTTGGTAGGTCATTCTTGAAGAAAAGGTTCTAAAAGGAAACCCCTACCCCCTATCCAAATCGACAAAAAATGAAATAATAAACCGGAGGTTGTGGTTAGGCAAGTTACTAATAATTTAAATTAATCCAACTCGAAGCATATGAATGTGTAAAAAGTAATCAAAAGACATAAGTTGAGTAACATTAAAGAAACACAAATCTTGAGCTTCCGTTAGAACTAAACAAAATACTTACAACAGAAACCTTACTGCATAAGCCTAATCTACTATTGAGCAAAATACTTACAACAGAAACCTTACTGCATAAGCCTAATCTACTATTGAGAGTCAGTAACATCAAGAACCCTAATAACAACTAAACCCTAATAAGAAGGTTAAACCCTAATATGTTGAATGAGATCTTGTATATGCATGAGAGAATATGTAGACAACAATAGAAGTCTAAAAATAATAGTTGATTACGGTTGGATCCTACGATTTAATGCACAAGCTAACACAACATCCAACCACATAATCGGTTCGATTGTTCAACTGGTTCGACCGGCGGTTCCGGTCCTAAAAATCGTGTGTATGTACGTGTGTGTGTATATATATATATATATATATATATATATATATATATATATATGAAGGGTTTTCTATGCATCTTTACACTAGATTTAGGCAAAAAAAAAGCATTCAAATATAATCCTAAATGTACATGCACCCTAAATCTAGGTTTTACTATTATAGCAACGTACTTTCAAAACATGAATATAAACTAATTAAAAGGGATAGGATTACCAACCTTTCCGGTATAATCGTATATACTTGTAATTCCTATGTAGATCTCAAACTCCTTATTGCACTTGAAAGATGTAGCACCCAAAGTAGAAATGCCTCTAATGGTTCATACCCAAAAGTCTAAAACCCATAAATTAAAGAGAGAGAGAGAGAGAGAGAGAGAGAGAGAGAGAGAGAGAGAGAGAGAGAGAGAGAGAGAGTGCATGTGTGTGTATGAGAAACGTTTTTCTTAGCATTTCAATAGGTTGGGTCAGCCGAATTTTGAAGGTTTAGAGGGGTCTTTATATAGCAATGGTGATTAGCAGATAAACCTGATTTGAATCAATTAAATAATCAAATTTAATCTTGACTCAAATATTTACCTTATCTGTTACTAGAGATCATTCCAGAAGCCTTCTAAAAGCTCTCTAAAACCGTCCACCTACATGGGGTTCCAAAATGTTCCTATTGCTTAATTATCAAACAATTAACATTTAGTTCTTGTACATTTAAATTAAATCCGGATTAATTCTAATTAACTTTCACTAGTTTCTAATTAATTTAATAACATGAAATAAATTAATAAACTATTAATCTCATTCCTTTAATTCATTTCTAGCTATTTTAGCTCTTGAAGTCAACCGAAAAAGACTTTGTTATTATTCTCATTCTTTGCCTTCAATAAACCGGTTTTCTTGGTAACCACCCAATTTTCCTGATTTTGCCTTAAATTAGCCGATTTTTTCAGTTCAGTGACAAATGATGTTTGAGCATTTGAAAACCGATGCCCAGACCGGTTCACAATTCAACCAATTGAACCGACCGGTCCGATCTGGTTTTCAAAACAATAAGTACAATAACTAATGTTCCATTTACATGTTTGACACCTTCAGTCCATCAAATTACAACTTATCTACAAAACAAAATATATATACACTAGATGTGAGACCCATGTATCATATGAGTTTATTTAAAAGAAAACTTAAATATGAAATTCTAAACATTTGAAAAGTTTGAATTTATAAGAAATTAAAAAAAATATTGAATTATTAAAATTAAAATGTTTTTTCTCTTTTAAGTTTAAACAAATAATTTAGATAAATAAACAAAAAAACTAATGAAGCTTTAATTTAGTAAATTTGAAATTAGAAGGAAAGTTCACTAATGAAATTAATATGCATTTATTATTTTTTATTACATTTAAATATTATGTGGAATTTAATAAAATAGAAAAACCATCAAATGACATGTGGAAAAAGAATAAAATGAAAATAATAAGAAAACATCATGTGACATAATGCATTAGAAGATGTCAAGTGGCAAAATAATTTTTATTTATTTCAGAGGATATATATATATATATATATATATATATATATATATATATATATATATATATATATATATATATATATATATATATATAACCCGTAAGAACCACAGTTATAAAAATAGTTAAACTTTCATAGTAAAAACTTCAAATTATTAGTTAATTGTTTAAAATAAATTAGTTCAAATAAATTATTAACTAAGAGATATTTTTTTTAGTTATATAAAATTATAATCGTTTATTTAAATAAATAAATAAAATATATCACCTTATAATATATATATATATATATATATATATATATTAATTTTATTTTATTTTTTATTCAAGTGTTATTAATTTAATATAATTAGAGTGTGAAATTTAAAATTTGAAATTTGAAATGAAGAATTAATTATTAATTTAATATAATTAGAGTGGAAAGTTTAAAATTTAAAATTTAAAATGGAAAAGTAATAGGTTGACATGTGGCATGATAGGTGACATATAATATTAATGAAGATTTCTAATATTGTAACATTTGTCAATAGCAGACTACACTTATTCGTTTATTAGAATATATATATATATATATATATATATATATATATATATATCTATATATATATATATATATATATATATATATCTATCAAGTAGTTCATCATAGAATCAAATTTAATTCATATTAACCATATGAATATATTTACGTTCACTTATGAACGCATATACAAAAACCATAAATTGAACAAATGTACATGAGATTCATGTTCATAGTTAAACCTTCATATTAATATTCATTCATAATTGAACATTCATATAAAATCAGGCATGCCAATACAAAATCATATGTGCTCATAAGGGAATATTTATACAAACTTATACATCTTCTATATTCAACATTTGTTACCTTCTTAACATTTATAGAAAATTACGCATGTTCATGACTGAACATTTATACAAACTCATAAGTGTTCTATATTTAACGTTTGTTACCTTCCTAACATTTATATAAAATTACATATGTTCATAATTGAACACTAATATTCATATGTGTTCATAATTGAAGATTATTATTGTAACATCCCAAAAATCGAGACCGAAATTTTTTTGTTTTTAATTATAATACTTGGGAAATTGTTTGAGGAAAACATTACTGATATCACGTCAAACCACAAAACCATAATTACATGTCTCAAAAACCATAATGTCAAATAGTATAATGTCAGAGTACAATCCCAGGGTTCTCGAATGCGGAATCATGTGTGTGCGATGCGCTACTACCTTGCCGGCTCCTTCCCCTTAGATGAAGAGATACCTGAAACCAAAACTGAAAACCGTAAGCACAAAGCTAAGTGAGTTCCCCATCATACCACATACCATACAACATACATTCTGCCGGGCAATTCTGGGGTGCCCGACCTACCCATGTCAAGCCATTCTGGGGTGCTGACCTACCCATGTCAAGCCATTCTGGGGTGCTGACCTACCCGTGTCAGGCCATTCTGGGGTGCCTGCCTACCCTCCGGTCTATCTTACTCGGTCACGGGGACTATTTCACCCCTACTACTATCACATAATAACATATCATAATCATGCTGTCAGACATATCTGGGGTGTCCGACCTTCCCTTTGGCCCTAACGACCGAATCGGGGGACTATTCCCTTCCTACTACCACTATCACATAGAACACATCATACTGGGACATAGAACACATCAAGTAATAGCAAACCAGACAATAATCACAAAGACAATCATCTCAACTGTAATCAACTACCAGTGGGTCGGTCTTGGTGCCTTAGACCCACTTCTACTGGTAGGTAACTCACCTCAATGTCGTGTAGTGTCTGCAATGTCCTCGGA